CTATTTAAAGATCAACCCGTGTGAGTCTCTGGGTAGGTTTGCGATGGGTATCTTGAAATTGGTGACTACCGCGCACTTTTCGGGTATGTCAATGGATAGCTAACATTTTTTTTAAATTAAAAAAAAACGAATATTTTCCTCCTTTCGAATTGGTTGGTACATTGGTACCCCCCCCCCCCCCCATTGAAAGAAATTGAATTTATATAGAAAAATCTCCCCCCCCCCCCCGAAAGAAATAATGGAATTTATAATAGAAAACATAATTTTACCAGTGTCGTCGTCCGCCCACCCCCCCGTCCGCCCCGTAATTATCAAGTCCCCCCCCCCGGAGAAAAAAGTCTGGAATATACACTGTATTTGATTCCACTCAAACCTGATTGAAGCCTGAAACTCCAAGTCGGCTGGACATTAAGCTGACCAGAGTTTCTTCCAGGCATCTCTTCCAGCCCCCCCCCCCCCTTCCACCCTTCCCCCCCCCCAGAAAAAATTCTACCGCCCCCCTCGAACGAAATGAAATATATATAATTTATATAAATAATATATACTTTTAACAGTGTCCGCCCCCCCCCCCCCCCCTCCCGAAAATTTCAAGTGCCCACCCGGAGAAAAAAGTCTGGAAGAAACACTGAAGCTTACCATTGTATTCCCATGTATGCCGAGGTCATTGAAACAGATCAACTCTACTTGTCTTTGCCCCATGTGTCTTGGGCACTCGTGGGAAAACATGATGATCAGTAATATTTTATGCATCTCAGTTTTGCTTTTGTTAATTAACTAGTTCAAAAAATAATCGTGTTGAAAAAAAAATTCAATAAACTTTAAACCATTTTTTTAAATAGTGTAATAAGCCATGCAACACAACTTCGAAATCAACACATGACTTTTATAAAGTAAAATTGCAAACAGAATCTTGTAGGCATACCAAAAAGACAATTTGGTGTGTTTTAAGACAAAGAGAGATGTTCCTTTAACCCATATTATCCCAAGGTCTCAAATTTTTATAATTTTTTGATATGGTTTAGCTTTTGGGCACTGAATGAAGGAATGACTATGGATTTTTTTTTAAAATCAATACTTTTTTAAATATCGATTTTTAAAAAAACGTCCCATAAATGGGACGCTAGCAACGAACGACCCCATGTACATTTATTGAAAAATAAAATCATTTATCACGAAATATGGCTAATTACGCGAAAATTAAGCTGTATACTGATTTTGTATTGTTAGACCAATGATTACATTGTTTAGGACAGCAAAAAATACTGATAATGATCAATTGGGTTAGCCATACCATGGTCTAAAATGGAGAAATTATGTTCAAAAGTCTAGTTTTCTTTCAATCTAGCATCCATCAAAGTGAACAACTCTTGGAAATAAGTAAAGCTGTGACTAGTACATCTAATTATACACACTTGATCACAAATATTGTTATTATTCATCGAAACTGTAATATAATTAAATATAAATAATTGATTTTTTTGGGGGGAGTACTTGATATTTTCAGGGGTGGGGACTTAAATTTCAGGGGAAGGGTGGACATTGGTAAAAGTATGTTTTGTATATAAATTCCATTTTGTTCTGGGGGCAGAGCACCCACCCCCCTCCTCAGAAATGATGCCTGAAAGAAACTCTGCCCTCAGTGAATTTGCAAAAGATGATCCGGTCCAGTCCCAGATGTCATCCAGCCATCTTCTCTTTTGTTACCCTCGCTATTCCCCCCCCCCCCCTCACAGGCGTACATTAGGAAGTCTGAGGGGTGGGGGTGTGCAAATCGAAAGTCTAAGGGGAGGATGCAAATCGAAAGTCTGAGGGGGGGGGGTGCAAATCAAAAGTTTGTCCCCGGTCGCCGGGAAGGGTCGCTACGCCTCTGAGGGGCCCACTAACACTTTTTTGCATAGGGGCCCAAAAATCCTAGCTACGCCACTGCATCAGACATCTTATTTCTAGGGCACAGATCCCTCTCTGGGGGCTTGTATTGAGTGTTCATGGCTCTCATCCATGTATGCACCTCAATATGCGAACAGCTCTCAATCTAACACCAGGAATCTCCTTAAAAAGTTAACAAAGTAAAACTAGTATCGGGAACCTTTGGAGGGAAATATTATTGGGGCATGACAACTGTACACAGTTAATTTACATTTCTGCTATATGTAGCTTAAGCTCTCTTAATGAAGAGAGTTAACCAACCCCAATGACTGAATCATTTCACCTAAATCGTGGCCATTGTATTTATTCTGTTTTGTTATAATTATAATATCACGCGCTAGTAAATTTACAGCAATACTAAATTAGTTTGTATTCAATGGTATTAAATACTTCAGTAAGTGCAATTCTGAAAACTTAAACATAAAATGTAAGTTTTTCAATATTTGCAATTTTTTAATACAATAATATATAAGAAAATATAGCTCAAGGTCATAATTAAATATATATAAATACTACTTAACACCCCAAAGTCAACAGTTAACAAAGTCAACAATTGTTTCACCATAAATAACCATTTAACATGAATATTTGCATCTGTGTTTCTCGCTAGTGTCCAATAAATGTGACGTTTGTGTAACAATCTGCATAAATATAGGTCAAGGTCATAATTAAATATCTATAAATACTACTTAACACCCCAATGTCAGCAGTTAACAAAGTCAACAATTGTTTCACCATAAATAACCATTTAACATAAACATTTTCATCTGTGTTTCTCGCTAGTGTCCAATAAATGTGACGTTTGTGTAACAACCTACATGGGGCCATTCGTTGCTAGCGTCCCACTTATGGGACGCTTGTTGTACACTTGATATAACCAAGTAGTAAAAAAAAATCTTTATTCTTAAATTTTTATCAGATAGAAATATGGTACTGCTACAAGTTTCAAATGTATTTTGCACTTAAAATGTTAATATTTTAGAAGATATGCATTTTCCTGTGCGCATGTTTTCTTTTTTCCGCCATTTTGACAAGTCCTGCAAATCCGGCACTGTAACATTTTTCTAAATTAATTTTTTTCACAAAACACACACAAATTCAATAGTCTAGCCATTTTTAAATACAATGAAACATAATTTGTGTTTTAACTAGTTTTTAATAAATTTTAGCAATTTTTTTTGCAAGCGTCCCATAAGTGGGACGCTAGCAGAATATGGGTTAATACCCCATTAGTTATATTTCATTCATAACATTCATTACATTGTTGACATTTTTAACTTTTTTTTTCAACTGAATAAGTATTTTAATTTTGCATAGTAATTAACATATATTTTGACAGTTTTCGCCGTTTTACTTCTCCCTATTTTAGTGTATACGGAATATAAAGGATGTATAGTAATCGTCAAAAAAAAATCTAAAATTTTGACGTTTTACCTACTTCCGGATAAGGAAACTTATTATTTCAGTTTATGTCTGTCTATATAAGTTAAGTGGGCGAAATTTTTGAGAAAATCTTTTTGAAATTATGGTAAGCGATAAAATTATAGCTACATTAGTAAAAATTAAAGCCGTTTGGGAACCATTAATTACACTAATTTATAGTTTTGTAACGAATATAAACCATTGAAAAGCCGTTTAGAATGGTCTGGGAGAGTAAAACAATGAAAGTCATAACAATCAGTGTTTCTTTTCGGGGGGGGGGGGGGGGCTGTAGACTTTCTTCGGTAGGGGGGGGGGGGGGCGGACACTGTTAAAAGTATATATTTTCTATATAAATTATATAAATTTCATTTCGTTCATGGGGGGGGGGGGCGGTAAAAAAAAATTCGGGGGGCTTAGACCCCCCGAAGAGATGCCTGGAAGAAACTCTGATAACAATTGTTTTCCATGATGAAAATACACAATATTGATCTATGGTCTATGGTGTATAGCTAGTATTGTAGTTATATTAAATAACAAAACATCCCCAATCACCACAGCACCCTAACTTTACTAATCCAAATTAAAAATAAAAGTGTTTGCCAAATTACTATATAACACAACTGTTATAAAATATTCAATTTTGGTTGAAAAATATGCTTTCTGGCAACAAAAAATTGGAACAAATTGGAACCAATTGTTCAAGTCTATTATAAGATTGGATGCGCAGGTTTCTTTCAAATTTTGAATGTTTTCCGGTAACCGGAAGTTGTACTTCACTCTGTCTAACGTGTGAATAGATAAACGTGACTATTGTTTTATTTAGGTTGAAAGAAAATTTCAAATACAAGTATAAGATTTAATACTTTGATTAATTTCAATTTTCGGATAACCTACGATAACCGGAAGTGGCACTTTACTGTAGTTCCGGTTCTAAAATAATTTGAGTACCTTTTCAGTTTGGTGGGCGAGTTTTATACAGTATAAGATCCTGATCCTTAAGAATGATTTATTACCGGTACCCGGCAGTATTACTTTACGCTATGTTCGATTTCTCAAAAATCACTCCTACGTGACCGATTTCTTTTAAATCTTTTACGTAGGTCAAGATTCGATGATAATTCAATGTTGCATAAAATTTGACTTAATTTGATGTTTAATTAATTAGCTTTTGAAAAAAATTAATATTTATATTTCCTTTATAAAGTATGGCTACCAATTTTCCGCTCTATTATACACTCATTGGTTGTGTTCATTTGGTGCGTAATTCTTTTTTTTTCTACGCATGCTAATCTATGTTTTAAAAAAATAGTTAGGCCTATTAAAAATACAATAAAAACCATTTTAAAAAATATAAATACATAAACGAGTGTTGCCTTGCAAATTTAGGCCTAACTTAAATAATAAATATCAGTGACACTAATAATTTACGAATTTCTATTAAAACATTTGCTCTAGCTAGATTGGTTATCATTTAGAAATATTTAAGTTTTATGTAGGCCTAAATATATTTTCACCATTATAAATCGATCTAATCAAGGTTCAGATTGTTAAAGTTGTTCAGAAATTTTGTTATAATTTTTTAATTAAAAGACGAATGAATAAGAAACATTTTATACTGCTCTGTTTTGCTTGACAATAAACCACTTATAGTTAGCTACTGAATACTAGAATAGTAGGGTAGGTTTACACTAGTTTACAGTTCTAGAGTTGTACATGTACACGATACATATTACATATTTTTACTTCTCTTTTATTTATTCTAGATCTAGATCTATATCTAAATCTAGTAAGCTAGATCTATTTTAGATCTATCTACACTAGTTATTACTGAATCTTTGTTACAGGTGTTAATTAGATCTAATTTGTGTAATTAATTGTAGATCTGACTAGAAGAAAGGTCAGTCAGTGACACTTCACTACTCACTCCTCTTGTGTGTGACTGTTGTTAGTTTGAGTTGATCTAGATTTAAATTCAAGAGAGGATCTGGCTGCTAGCTGATCTAAAAAAATCTAGAAATCTAGATCTTAGTTTGCCTAGATTCTAGATCTATAATTCTAGATGGAAGTGGCTATTTGGACCCGGGCCTTCCAAAGGAAGGTTCGTCCATAAATGACGTCACACTCGACTCGTAGGGGGGAGAGGGGTCTGTAATTTTGTGATGGTGTGTGATGAGGGGGAGGGGGGGTTCAGATGGTGTGACGTCAATGCAATGTAACTTTATGTTAGAAAACGAGTTTTAGCCGTTATTTAGCCTTTTAGAAAACGGTTTTAATAAAGGATGCATCTATTCAGACCCGGGTCCCAATAGCCACGACCGCTATTGGGACCAGCCAATAGAATAGTTAAGATTTAGTTATACAAAAATTATTTTAAGATGCAGAATATATATTTTCTGTTGTGATTTTTTTTCCTTGTATTGTAATTCTAAATGATAAATTCTATATTGAGATCTTGCTTTAAATACCCGATATCATTACTGACAAATGTTATGATGAGCGGGTGTCATTAGGTCTATATTATGGCCTATGGTATGAATTTCTACGGACGAGCGAATGTTGAGCACGCATGTTAAAATGTGTTTTATTTATTTTTTCTTCTGTTAAACGTAATTTGATTTCATAGGTCTATCCGTCCATATATATATATATATATATATATATATTTGTACAAGAAAGCTCATAGAGGCTTTAGACTATAGCTCCCGGGCCCGTTTTCTTGAACAAAATCATTAAACATCTATTAATTATCATAAGACGTCGTGGCAGAGTGGAGAACGCAGTACCTCCCAAATCTCGATCAGTTATGGGATCAGAACCTATCTAAGCTCTTGTTTTTGTGAGAAGTGTATTTAACTAAGTTTAATGTTCCATCTCGATAGTTAAGTTGTTTGCATAGGTGTCATTTTTTTAAACAGATTATATGTTTTTTCTAGATTTAGGTTTTAAGCACGCCAATTATAAACATTGTTGCTCCATTGATCGCCCGCTCACGTTGGTTTAGATGTGAATAGTGTAGGCGTATAGCGTACGTCATAGCAAGACCATTGCTATGAGCTTGTCGAGATTTGTTGTCGTCTTGGGGGTCGGCGTGGTCGAGTCGGTAAAGCTCATGGTTGCTAAACCGAAACGTCTCGAGTTCGAATCCTCGGGCAGATGAGGCTCGTTAGCTGGGGACAGCTACTCTTCTAGGAGAGACAACTCCAAAATTAAACAACTGCTGCCTTGTAGTTTGTTCTTGGTTGGACAAAGGCTATGGAAGCAAATCCTAAAAGAAAAGCAGGCTGAAATCGGAATCAATGGCCTCAATGGCGCATAACCAGTTGACACGTACCGCTTAATTGTGTTGGAGGCGTGGTCGAGTCGGCAAAAAGCTCATGGTTGATAAATTCGAACAAAGTCTCGAGTTCAAACCCACTGGCAGATAAATCTCGACCCCCTTCAACACTAATAATTAAGAACGAAGAAGAAGAAGAAGAAAGTTGTCGTCTTAGCTCTCTACCCCCTCTCCCAACCTAGCAAGAGGGAAAAGCGGATTTGGGGCCATTATGAGTTCAAATGTTATATATTGCTTCTATTAAAGAGTACTACAGCACATGTGAGATATTCGTGTTCAGGAAATCGTGCCCGGGAGCTGTATAATGAGCTATTTTTTAAAAATTTGGACTGATAGGCCTATGAAATCAAATTACGTTTAACAGAAGAAAAAAAATAAAACACATTTTTACATACGCACTCAACATTCGCTCGGCTAGAGAAGTTCATACCATAGGCCATATATTTATAATTTATAGACCTAACGACTTCCGCTCGCCATAACTTTGTCAGGAATGATATCGGGTATTTAAAGCAAGATCTTAATATATCATTTAGAATTACAAGAAGAAAAAAATCACAACAACAGGAAAGTTATATTCTGCATCTTAAAATAATTATTGTATAACTAAATTTTAACAATTTTATTGGCTGGTCCGAATAGCAGCTGAGATTATTAAGACCTGGGTCCCAATAGCGACCGTGCCTATTTATTGCTATTGAAAAGTATGTTAAATTTAATCTGGCTAGCTAGATTTAGTTTTAATCTAGATTCTAGGAAACTCTACTCAAGTCGAAAATGATTTTTTTCCATTTTTGTTTCTTCAGTTCATTTTCATGATCTATTCTAAGTACACACAATAAAATTTAAAAATTCAACCAAGATAAGCCCTATCTAATCTACTTCTTCTTGAAATCCAACATCGCACCCAATCAACAGAAACAATTTAAAGGAAGTGGTCAATAGCCCGGGCCGCTATTAGGACCCGGGGTCCCTATAGCCCTGGCCACTATTCGGACCAAGCATTAAGTTTGGTCTATAGTTACACATTGGCATAACAAAATACCTACTCTTTAATAGAGTGGGTTTAATTATAAATTATTAAATTTACTGAGATAGGTATATACTATTCTAGGCTAGTAATTTCATCATAATTGATTTTACTTGTATCTTGCTTTATTGGCCTTTGGAAAAAACTATTCAAATGTCATTTAAATCACTTGCTGTAGTCTTGATTGTTATTTTAATATGTAGACATTGTATACTGTCATTTACTATGACTGTATTTTAAAATATGTGTATTGTTCTTCAGATTATGTTGAAACACCACTGAAATATCAACCAAAATGCATCCTGCTTTGCCAATATTCCTTGTGTTTTTCGGCTGTTGTAGCAATGTTATTTTTCTTGAGGAGCTTGTCAAGTAAGTCTAAACAAATGAATGCTTTAATTCTCTGATGCCAACCAGCTGTTTCTCTTACTGCATGTCATGTCACTAGAGTAGAATTAAAACAGTCTTAGAAAGATACAGTAAAGCAAGACACTACAGTTGTTAAGTAAAGAGATTTTGCTGCACTGCTGAGTATATAACTACCTTAGAAACAGGGTTAGAGTTAGTTAGACTCAGAAATAATAGCCGAAACAGCATTTTTACAGATCCCTGATAACACGAATACTAACTAAATTTTTTTCTCGCCACAGGGTATACCCTAACAGTGGCAACACCATCACTTTCTGTGCTTTTATCTTCAACTGTTTGGAAGGGCTTTTCATCACAACCAAGTTTTTAACTGTTCGGCCTGTTATACCAATAAAGTAAGTTTGACTACCACATTTTCTTTACATTAAAAAAGAAATATCTGTAGGTGCTATGTTTTTGTCAGGTAGAGTTGGGCTACAGGGTAAGAAACTTAAATTACCTGAGTTTTAATCTTGGATATCATAGGCAAATATTTTGTCATTAACTTGTCAGATGTCCCTGAGCCTAGTTAGTTTCTGACTCAAGTTTGATACAACTTGTCAGATGTCTCCGAACCTTCCCAGTCTACATTAATATCTGACTCAAGTTTGATTTAGTTTAGAAAGTTGGATATTCTACTTGATACACAATCTTCTCCTAAGCTATGGGCATAGAAACATTGATTTTCTTTTCACCAATATGTAGCAATAAAAATAATACATAAACACATATTATTTGGTATTAATCTAAAACATTACTGACAATTGAGAAGATATTGCTCACAGTTAAGAAAATTAAACCAGTATCAGATGAAGTGTAGATTTGTATCAGGTTTCAGCTACTAAGTTCCAATGAAGTTTCAGGTGCTGTGTTCTAATGAAGTATGGGTTTTGTGTAATGTTTCATGTGCTATGTTCTAATGAAGTATGGGTTTTGTGTAATGTTTCATGTGCCATGTTCTAATGAAGTGTGGGCTTTGTGTTATGTTTCAGGTACTATGTTCCAATGAAGTATGGGTTTTGTTAGTGTTTCAGAGTAGTGTACTATATTCTAATGAAGTATTAGCATGGGTTTTGTGTTATCTTTCAGGTACTATGTTCTGATGGTTGCCTTCTTCTTTGTAGTCCAGACCCTCAACAACTACACACTAGGGTTCAACATCTCTATGCCCTTACACATGATATTCAGAGCTGTGAGTATTTTCTTTTATTTTCTTTGTGTATTTTCTTTTATGTTGACCAAATCATTGTTGACTAATACAGATGATTATTTTTGTTTTAAATTAGTCAGTAAAATTATTATTCAAATTCTATTTCTGAATGTAATCAATAATTAGTTTTAAATGTAGCATTCTGTTTGTTCATTGAAAAAAAATGTACCAACTTGGTTCCAGGGCTCTCTTATAGCCAACCTCATCCTTGGTGCCTTAATCATGAAAAAACAGTAAGTGTTATGTGACTACTTCATCTCTCAGTTATCTATCTGTGGTACATTTTTAAAGTTACAAGTTAAATTTTATAGTAGGCCTACAGCATTAAGTTTACTTCCACGACTACATTATGCTAAAAAAGCAACTGATTATTTAATAACTTATAATTCACTTAAGGCAGAAACAGCAAATTAATAATTACAATGCAATTAAAAATACATCTATAAATATGTACATTAATCATAGGTATTGTAAATCAACAAATTCTATACCAATAAGCATGATCTGTACATAAATATAGACAGAAGTAAAAACATTACCTATGGGAATCTCATTCTTCATACAGATACAAAGTAACGAAGTATTTATCTGTTGTACTCATCACTATTGGCATAGCTCTGTGTACCATTGCCTCAGCTGGTCAAAAGGTAAACACTTTTTCATTCTTTTAAGTCCAGGACCTTTTATAGTACAAACATTAAATGTGTATCCACTTTTAAACCGTATTTAATGTGAATTAAAAGTTGGTTAAAAGGTGAACACTTTTTCTCTCTTTTATGTCTTGTATCTTAAATAGTTCAAACACTGTATGTGGATTTGCTTTTAAATTGTTGTAAATTGAAATTTGTAGAAGTCTTGAATATAATGGGTCGATTGCATTTTACAAATATTGGAATTTCATGTTTTTTTTTAATCAATACTTTTATATTTTGTCAAAACTAAATATTTTTATTAATTTCAAAAAGATCATGTGTAAAATTTAAAAAAAGAATTGTCTATTATCAGACATCGTTATCAGCTATAATTAACTATGCATTTATTTTGATGCTAGTATTTGTACTTAATTAAAATTATGTAATTAAAATTCAAAATATCCTGTATAAATTTGAATTGTGTTGTATTTTTTAGGAAAAAATGGCAAGCCACACCGGAGATGCAGCATATGATTATTTTATTTGGGTTATAGGTAATGTGTTCTGCTGGTATTTATAAAATGTATTGGTACTGTAGATGTACTTGTTTCTTTTTTTCTTTTATTTTATCTGATGGCTATGACTCTCAGCTGTCATGCCTGATTTGTTGTCCCAGTAATAGCACTGTCACTGTCATCATTTGCTAATGTCCCCAGGCTTGTGTCTCCTGGTGCTGTCATTGTTTCTCTCAGCACTGATGGGGATCTTCCAGGAGAAAACTTATGCCCAGTATGGCAAACATCCATCTGAGGCTCTGTTTTACAATGTAAGTTTTGTTTTGTTGACTGGCTTCTATAGTAATATAAGTAGGTAGTAATATATTTTATCCTTGTTTGGGCTATACTTGAATAAATAATATTATATGTGGCTGCAAATAAGAACACACCTTGACCTAAAGCCCCAAAAGTAATGAAGTAGGGCTCAGCGCCTCTGATGGAACTTTAATCAGGTAACTTAAGTCAGGGAGCTAGATTCAGGGAAGCAAACTAGAGCTTTTTGGATTAACATATTACCACACTCCATCACTTTACTTAGCAATCCTGTTTGTGTAGTGTTGAAATACAAATATTTGTATTGGTACCTGGCTATTGTTACACTTACATTTTAAAACATCATGAATTTTTTTTTTCTAGCACTTCATGCCTCTCCCAGGGTTCCTGCTAGTTGTAAGTGACATCTCCAGGTGTTTCTCTCAGTTCAACACCTCAGGTAAGTCATGGACAATGTGTCTAGTTTAAAGACAGTCATACATTGTTTTAATTCAGTAGTACATTGTTCTAAGGCAGGGTACCAAGTTTTAAGACAGTCATACATAGTTTTAATTCATTTGTACATTGTTCTAAGGCATCATATTTATTTTTAATTCAGTCGTACCAAGTTTTAATTCAGTAGTGTTATACCTAGTTTTAAGGCAGTCGTATATATTTTTAATTCACTCGTATATATTTTTAATTTATTCGTACAAAATTTAAATTTGGTCTTAAATTATTTTAGGCAGTAGTAAATTCCTTGTAGAGTCTAGGTGTTCGGCATAGTGTTGATGAGTTTAATGAAAACCATAGTAGTAATAATGCATTTAAGACCGATATTAGATAAAAGCCCTTGATATGTGTTATCATAACATTGTATTAAGAAAAAAAATATTCACATTTTATTGAAGTCGCCACTGTAATTAAAACAAGCAGCTGTGTTAAGATTCTGAAGTGATAGAGAAAATTGTTTTTATCCTAGAACCTTACAGTGTTCCCTCCCTTGGAATGGTGCTGCCGTGGGCGTGGCTGTGGCTGTTGTTCAACACCATCTCTCAGTATCCTTTGGTCAAGCTCCAGCTTTTGTTTACCATTTTATCTGCACTGTACTCACATCTAGACTGTTCTTTTTGAGTGACCACAGGTCAACTAATCTTTGGCTCACCAACTGGATCATAGATCTATCACTGACCACAGGTCAACTAATCTTTGACTCACCAACTGGTTCATTGATCTATCACTGACCACAGGTCAACTAATCTTTGACTCACCAACTGGTTCATTGATCTCTCACTGACCACAGGTCAACTAATCTTTGACTCACCAACTGGTTCATTGATCTATCACTGACCACAGGTCAACTAATCTTTGACTCACCAACTGGTTCATTGATCTATCACTGACCACAGGTCAACTAATCTTTGACTCACCAACTGGTTCATTGACCACAGGTCAACTAATCTTTGACTCACCAACTGGTTCATTGATCTGTCACTGACCACAGGTCAACTAATCTTTGACCACTGACCCACTAATCTTAGACAGGCCATAAAAACAACTTTTCTTCAAGTAACTATTGGTCAACCATTCTTTGACTGACCACTTGTCTACTTATCCTACTAAGTGACCAGATCTACACAGAAAACCTCTCACAACTAAAACAATATTAAGTTGGTACTTCACATGAAAACATGTAGATATATTTATATTTGTTGAAAAGTATTTTTTCATACAGCTATGACCTTACTTAACACATGTAAACTGGTTCTTATAATTAGCATTGGTTGTTGATTGGTTGATTCAAATGATTTGTTTATTATAGTTTATTAATCCTAGAAATACCATTTTTCTATCCCATGGTCCTGGATCTGTTTATTTATCCTTAACAAGCCCCCCAGATTCATCTGCATCAAGAGTGTTTTTATCCTGACCACTGAGTGCTCCTCCCTGACCGTGACCCTGGTGGTGACCTTGAGGAAGTTCGTCAGCCTGGTCTTCTCCATCTGGTACTTCAAGAACCCGTTCACCTTGACCCACTGGGCGGGCGCGACCTTGGTGTTCCTGGGGACCCTGATGTTTGTGGAGATCTTCTCCAGGTTTGAGCCTTACCGCAGACTTGAGACCAGACTCAATCAGCTCAAGAAAGTCAAGACTTAACGATAATTAACCATTAGGTCTTAGATCTGTTGTTTATTTATTTTACTAACAAAATATTTAGTAGTTGTCTGATGTTTTGTTTTTGTGGTAGACGGACAGCTTTAGTCATGAACTAATTTTTTTTACTTACTCTTCAACTAAATATTAATTATTTAGACTTTTTGTGTACTAACAAAATATTGAGGAGTTGTCTGATATGTGGTAGATACTTAAAAATGTTTGTGGTAGACAGACAGCTTTAGTCATGAACTAATTTTTTTTACTTACTCTTCAACTAAAAATTATTGTTTTTATACTTTTTTGTGAACTTTTCTTTGGTTAGAGAGAATTGTTTTTTTTCTTCTGTGATATATTAACATGGTTCTCATGGGTTAAGTTGTTCTACAATTGGGATAGATGTTGTATAGGCTAATTAATTATAATATAATTAGGTTAAATGTTCTCCAAATGGGATATATGTTCTATATGCTTATTAATTATAATATAATTAGGTTAAATGTTCTGCAAATGGGATATATATAATCTATAGTCAGATTAATTGTGATATGGATAGGTTAAATGTTCAACAATTGGAAATGCTAGATGTTTGACAAATATGATTGTTGTCATACACTCACGTTTATTAATAACTTTGTTTACATCTTCTACATAATGGATAGGTGTTCTATAATAGGCATTAATGTTGTTATCAAATTACTAAAACTATAATTCAGCCTTGTGGTCTATATTCAGGTTTATTGTTTTACAGTGGATTTAGTTGTTCAACAATTATTGGGTCTAGTCTAGTGTTCCACTAAATATTAAGTGAACAAGATGTATTTTTGTATCACTATGGATGACCTTCTTCAACTTTAATCTTTACAATTTGATGGGGCGTGGTAATGGGGTTTTAGTTATTGAGGTTTTTTTTTTCATCAATGATCACGTTTTATTTACAGTTTTTGTAATTTAACATAGTTTTTTTAAATTTAGTATGAAAAAAGCTTTTTATTCGCAAAAATGTTCCTAGTTCAGTTTTTTAGTTACTTCATTTTTTTTTGCAAAAATCTCCATTTTGACAAGTTCAAACTTTAAGTATGAAACAAAAAGATTACCTTGCTGTGTTATGTTTTTTTGTTTTGAATAGATCACATTCATTTATGTGCTGGTTTTTACTTTTACTGTAAATATTATTTGAGTAATTATTAATTGAACTTTTTATTGTTTTATTTGCAAGACAAGAATAGCTAACAGTGCATGATTTTTAAATTTTGTTCAATTTTTTAATTGCTCTCTCTCTCTCTCTACTGTTGAGGGTTCTTCAGTGTGTAAATTTGTAAAGGGGTAACTTATTTACATTTTTTTACTGGGTTTGTCAAACATTTTTTTATCAATTTTTACCAAGGTAATTCTTTTTTGGTAATTGAAGCTTCTGACTGAGCCCACCCAGCTCTGATGGGTACCTGACTTATGTTGGGGGAAAATAAAGGCCGCTGGGCATAGTGTTGACCACACCATCCTTCCATATGTTGAGGTTAAGAAAAATGAATTCTACTTCATCTGTCTGATGGATCTTTAGGTCTGGAAAGGGAGCTTAACCTTACTGATGCTTGTAATTGAGTTGTCACTCAAGTAGTGGTTTCCCCTTCCATCCAGTTGTTTCTCAACTTGTGGTGTTTTACTTAACCAGTGATCTCTCACTTAATGCAGTGGTCTATTTCTCAACCAGTGATCTAACTCAACTAGTGGTCTTACCTAACTAGCCACTCCTCCCCCTCCCCCCCTGACCCAGTGGTCCCTCTACTGCTGAAACTTCCAGTATTTGTTGCTTGTGTTCCTCTGGTCAACTTGCCATAATAAAACAAATCTGTTGCTAATCTGATTACCGCCCAATGCATGTGATTCTTCTATTTTAGCTATATTTTACACTGAAATTGTAATTTACATACTGTACCATGTAACTAAGTAATGTGTTTCAGTAACATTTAAAATTATTAATTAACTGGATAATAGATTGACCTTATAATTTTTTAAAATAATTTTTATTTAAAGTAAACTATTTTGAAATGTAGATGTATACATTGGTTTGTTTTCTTTTCTAGCTACCTAATTAAAGTTTGTGTGCTAGATGTTTTTTATTCATAGGTGGGGGTCACACTTTTCCCTCTGATTCAATATGATTGTTTAAACAGCCCCTTCAAGCAGCTATTAGGGTAGAGCTGACATTCACCTCACAGAGAGAATGTGTGACAGTAGACTTAGATATGGTTCACAATCTAGTGCATGGTCAGTTCATATGAATGACAGAATAGACAATAACATTACGTAAGTGTATTCTTGCCTCATACAAAAAACTAAGAAACCTACCTGAGAAGAGAACATCAAGCAATTAATTAACATTAACAAATTTAATAATTTCTATAGCTAACAGAAAGCAATAATATAACAAAAATTTGCAAACCTTTATTTAAAAAAATAAATCTGATCAACCAAGTACAAATTTAAAACCAAACATTTTGATTTCAATATTTATACTGAAAAATACATTCAGACCTACCAATCAAACACTACTTAACAAACTTCTGATCAACATGCTGTATAAAACATTGTAATACATAATTCACGGAATTCATAAATACTTTATATTACAGCTCATCAGAATTAGAAGAAATTACTTTTTAAAAAATCTTCCAACAAATAAATTCACTAAATCCAAAAATTCACTTTGACCACTCATTCATTTAACACTTCACTCAAATCTGTGTGATCGAACCAGTCACACTTTCAAATACTAAATTTTAAAAATTACTAACTAAACGCTAAATTCAATTTCACAACTTAATATATTGGCAATGTAATCAACATTAAAAAAATGGTTTAAAAACATGTTCAGCAGTTGTACTTTAAATAAATGCACAATGTTGTGACACAAAAGAGTGGCCTGCCATATTTAAATGCTTTATAAAATGCTGTGCCATACTTAAAGGACTGCCATACAAAATGGTGTGACATACATTATAATATTAATAACATACTCCAATTTAAAACACATGACCTTTTAGCACACTTTGTTATTCTAGTCAAGTTATGCTTGATGCTAGTAAATAGAATAGAAAAACTAGTCAGGGAGTTGTGGCTTTTCTATGTCTTCACCTTGGCTTATAGATAAGCCAGAAAAAAACCAACAGATTTAAAAAAATTTAAGTTAAATAAAGTAGACTTGTGCTTTTTTAAATAAGAGATATTTGCATGGCTGAATATATATGATAATAAATATGATTATGATAGATATATGTGATTGAAAACAAAATCCTGAATTAGAATTTTTTACTGCCTCCCCATCACAAATTATTTTAGCTATATTTTGGAGTAGCCAAAGGTAGAAAAAAATCTCTAAATGGTTGGCTGCAGTTAGTTGTAATGTCTTTACTTCAATGGATATTTTCCAAAAATTCAATCTTTTCTACACACAGACACTGAGTAACTTTGCTTGACTGATAATCTAACTAAAGAAACGGCAATAAATAAAACAAAAATCAAATGAATGTGTTCATTTCATGTATACATTCAACAAATACACAAGTCAATCTCAGGAGGGCACAATATCAAGTATGAAATGAACACACACAGAGAAACATGTACTCTAACATTCAAAACCGATATAATGCTTTCAATTATTCCAGACATGAATACCCTTTGAGCGATGCCTAAACATATCCGAGTGCTCAACACATAGACTGTATGGATGAATGTTAATCAATAAATTAATGCCACTTTTTCTCTGGGCCTACAGTGTTGACACTGCCAACATGCCACTGCCAGAATTATTTCCAGGACTCCCAGCCAAAGAACACTTTGCCCCTGTCAACATTTTCTTTCACAGTTAGACGCCCTCCGCTGATGTCTTTCTTCTCTAGGGGACCCCATCTTTCTAGAGGCCATAGAACTCTGGAGGCTTTGGCGGTGATCAGGCCAATAGATACCTGCGTTGTTTGAAAAGATAAATTACTAGCTGTGATTAGACTTTCAAATATATTAGATTTGGATTCTTAAACTAGCAAGGAAAGAATGAGAGGGACATAGACAGGGGACAGCATACATTATTAAAATAAATTATCTAATATAGAAATAAAAAAATATGAAAACAAACTGTATGCCAACAAAAATAAAATAAAATAGCAGTGAGATATGAAAAAGAAAAACTACACTAAAATTTAATTCCACTAATTAACAATAACTAATCAGCTTTAACTAACAGAACAGCTAGGCCGGCCTCAGAGTATAACAGTTTGACATCTCAGACTTACTGGGCCAAAGTTGTTACTGTCCATGCTACAATCATGGTTGTCTCCCTCTACCCAGCAGTGACCTCTAGGGATGTCCACATTCTCCTCAAAACAGCTGTTGGCTCTAGAAGCAAGATTCAATTTATTAATTAGTTGTTGGATTTAGGAAGAAGATTCAACAAAAATACATTTGACAAGAAAAATAGTGCTATCCTGTATTGCTATTTATTTTGTTTTGTTTAGGAAGTATTTTTCAAAAATATTTTAAAAACTATTTTAAGGAAGATTTAATGTTCTCATAAACAGAGGGTAAAACTTACTTGACTTGATCTCCTTCTAATGCGACAATTCTTTTAATCAACCACTGGCTGGGATCTTTAGGGGAGCTAATAGGAAGAAATAAACAAAGACCAATGAACATAAAGGGAAATAACTCAGAAATATAAAAATATTAACATTGTTCTTTTCCTTACACTAAAACGTAAACTATCCATGTGTTTCACAAACTTGATCTAGCCGCCCTCAAAACAATTGTAATGCAGCAATAAGACAAAAGTTAACGCAATCAAAAGATATTTTGTCGTTAAAAAGAGCAGATTTGTTTTGATTATACCTACTTTAAGACATTAGCAAGAACGTACTCATCGGCCTAATAATTATTAAGAAACTATTTTTTCTTCAAATTTTGTAGATATGATTTATATTGATGTTTAACTTTGGTGTTCGTGATTTTGTTGTTTTGTTTATGTGTGTGCTGTATGTTTCCATTTTTCTTGTTTTGCGTTTTTGGTTTTGTACAAGGTTAAAATAATTAGAAAATAATCGTTCTGATATTCGCGTTGGTGAGTGTTTTGTTTTCATTTGGAGCGAACGTGAGTTTTTCATATCAGGAAAAAAAAATCTATGCCTAAAAAACTAATTAAAAGCTAACATAAATACACACAAAACTTGCTAACTAAACAAAAAGAACACGAAGATTTAGATCAATAAAACAAACGTTAAAACATCATGCATTCTATAGCTGTAGCACCACGGGACAGTAGCAGATTTTTAATATTTTATTTATATTGCTAGAAGTGAGAACTTTGTACACACGTGGTCCACAAACTAACATTCATCAAATTGAGCGCAAAAACAACAAACGTAAGAGGTCTTTTGATGAGGCCCAGGGGCAGTAACTCTGCTCAATAGGTTCAGCTTGAAGTGACTACACTCCAAGTCTTTCAGCAGTTGTCGGTAATTACAAAACATGAAACAAGGGGGGCGGGGTGGAGATAATTGTTTTCTTTCTCGTCACTCAGTGAGTTCAAAGCTGATGTTTAAAACATGGCACGGTTCAGGTCAAGGTGGGTAGATGGTGTGGGATTGGTGGGTAGATGGTGTGGGATTGGTGGGTAGATGGTGTGGGATTGGTGGGTAGATGGTGTGGGATTGGTGGGTAGATGGTGTGGGATTGGTGGGTAGATGGTGTGGGATTGGTGGGTAGATGGTGTGGGATTGGTGGGTAGATGATGTGGGATTGGTGGGTAGATGATGTGGGATTGGTGGGTAGATGATGTGGGATTGGTGGGTAGATGGTGTGGGATTGGTGGGTAGATGGTGTGGGATTGGTGGGTAGATGGTGTGGGATTGGTGGGTAGATGATGTGGGATTGGTGGGTAGATGGTGTGGGATTGGTGGGTAGATGATGTGGGATTGGTGGGAGGAGAGGCGGGATAGTGAGGATTAGGATAGTCTGCTGGGATAGTCGGGTGTGTTTTGGGATAGACGGGTGTGTTCTGGGATAGACGGGTGTGTTCTGGGATATATGAGTGTGTTCTGGGATATATGAGTGTGTTCTGGGATAGACGGGTGTGTTCTGGGATAGACGGGTGTGTTCTGGGATAGACGGGTGTGTTCTGGGATAGACGGGTGTGTTCTGGGATTAACTGGTGTGTTCTGGGATAGACGGGTGTGTTCTGAGATTAACTGGTGTGTTCTGGGATAGACGGGTGTGTTCTGGGATAGACGGGTGTGTTCTGGGATATATGAGTGTGTTCTGGGATAGACGGGTGTGTCATGTGATAAGCAGTGTGTTCTGGGATAGAAAGATGTGATCTGAAATAAACTACTGTGGTCTGGGATTAACTGATGTGTTCTACCGTAGACGGGTGTTTGCTTAAATAAACAGTTGTATACGCTGACACTTTGATGTATGAAGGTACGGAATGCTGGTGCGCGGAACTTTGACCACACGTGCTTTGACCATAGGGGGTTTGACCATCGGGGGTTTGACCATATGGGTTTTGACCAAAGCGGGGTTTTGACCATAACGGTGCTTTGATAAACCGATGAATTAAAAACATCAATACTTTAACTGCACTAACGCGGGCGTCTAAAAGATAGTCAAACTTTAAAAAAAAAAACGGTCATCAAAAACTATCAGTTATATCCTACACTAAATCAATCGAAATTGAAATCGGCTTGATTAAATCAATGACCGCCAATAAACGGCTGTGCTTAACCACGACCAAGCCACGCCTAATCAGACCATGTCCACGGGAACCACGTGATGAGGACTCATTTCCTGCAGGCTAAACGAGGAGCGTATACTGCGCCAAATGTTTGGTTAGTTTTGATGTGGGACAATTGCATTTTCTTTCAAGTCGGCTCTAGTGATCCTTTTAGTCTAGGCTGCTATATTGGGGGGGGGGGGGGGGGGGGGAAGGGTGATTGATGATGGATAACTATTGCTTGTTTGATAAGCGATTACATCTTAGTTGTGTTTATAATTAATTAGTGAGTTAATTAATTAACAATCACTTTGAAGTAGCCCACAAAGCTAATTGTTTTTTTTTTCATTATATTTTAAAGCTACGAACATACAAATATGATAGATATAAAACTACGATGGTTTTTATTGACTACGGAAATACGAGGCTTGTGGGAAGGGAGGGGGGGAGAGTGGGGTTTACTGTTACAGAAACCAAATCAGACTTTTGAAATTGTGGGTGGATGTAGGTGGTTTGCTGAGTGTAGGGTGTGTGTATTTGTGTTCCATCCCACATAGAGTTTCGACCACAATAAACACTTTAGAACCAATATTTGTGTGTATAAGCTCTCTTTAAAAAAAGTCTGAACAAAAACAAATGCGAGTCAACATGATATTTACTGCTGTTGCTTTCAGCTCCATTGAACCAGAAATAGCCTTCCTCCCTAAATTTAACCAGAAATAGCCACCCTCCCTAAATTTAACCAGAAATAGCTTTCCTCCCTAAATTTAACCAGAAATAGCCAACCTCCCTAAATTTAACCAGAAATAGCCTTCCTCTCTAAATTTAACCAGAAATAGCCACTCTATCTAAATTTAACCAGAAATAGCCACTCTATCTAAATTTAACCAGAAATAGCCACCCTCCCTAAATGTAACCAGAAATAGCCACTTTCCCTAAATTTAACCAAAAATAGCCACCCGCCTCGCCCCCTTTTTTAACCGCAGGTGAAAGTGACTGCTTGATTAGACGGGCTGCTGACATAATTGGCATTTGATCAATACAGTCAACGATACACTGACGTACAAACGATACCGGCGGGAATCGATACTGTCCCCCCCCCCCCACCCCGGTTAACAAGAGCCCATTACCTCGTGACGCAAAGGTACAAACGACGCCGGGAATCGATACCGCCCTGTTAACAAGTGCTCAGGGACAAAAGAGAGGGTGTCGTGCGCGCCCCGACCCCGGGAGAGGCGTGACTCCAGTCTAGCATGCCATGTCGTTATTGTCAAACAATTATGTTCTAAGAAAAAAATATATAATAGCGTTGACATAGCTGTAACCGAATTCTGCATTCAAAATACGGGCAGAATCGATCAGAAAATCATTACCAGCGAGCGACAACTCGTTAGAGAGATTTTCATCGGTTGGGGTAGGATGTGGGGATCACTGGGTCAACCACGTCTTCTTCTTCTTCGTTCTTAATTGTAGTGTTGGAAGGTATCCCCTCCAACACATTTAGTATTAGTGTCAACTGGTTATGCGCCATTGAGGCAATTGACTCCAATTTCAGCCTGCTTTTCTTTTTGGATTTGCTTCCATAGCCTTTGTCCAACCAAGAACAAACTACAAGGCAGCAGTTGTTTGATTTTGGAGTTGTCTCTCCTAGAAGAGTTGCTGTCCCCAGCTAACGTGTCTCATCTGCCCGAAGTCAACCACTTAAATCACAACATTTTACATTTAAATTATCAGTACCGTCGTGATGTTGTTTTTTTTTTTTTTTATTTCTTTTAAATAGCTGAGCAGAACATGACAAACTTGTTTCAAATAAAACAAAATGTGCTTAAAGCTTTATTTTGGAATTATTTTTTTAATAATGTCATTTAAGCCTTACAGAAGAAAAAGTTATAATTAGTTTTATTTTTAAAAAATGCCAGGTGCAATCAGTTGTTTTTTTTTAAATTGAAAACCAGTCAATAACAGAGGTGACAGTGATTATTTTATGTCCTATAAACTTTATGGTCACCTCCCCTACTTTTCTATTAATATCCTCCTGATCACGTGATACTAACAGACCAACACAACAGCTCATCACCATGCCAAGCGAACCAGACGACATCAGCCTGTAATCCTTCTAAATTTTACTTTTATATTTTTTTTCCTGATCTTTCAGATAACAGTAATTAGTTATATTTGCACTCTAATTTTTTTTTAAAGACAATAGGTTTTCATTTTAGTTTACCTGAACGTAAATTAAACTATCGAGCTTACGTAAATGCACCACAGGTAAACGGTAGAAACAGGTGCTAGCTGAGGTGATAGTAGTGGGTTTGGTGCCAGGGATTTTTTAGCTAGAAGACCAAATAAATACTCTCGATGCAGTCTACGTTAGACAGTCAGTTATAAGAGACTGTGTATACATAATAAGAAATGGAAGTGGTAAAGAGGTGGGTTGTCATTGTTTTGTATTGTGGTGTGTGGGGTATGGAGGTAGGTTGTTATTGTTGTATAGTGGTGGTGTGTGTGTGTGTGTGGGGGGGGGGTGAGGGTATTGTAGAGAAACGATTAATAACGCATTAACGCTGCTTCAATTTTTTCATCATTATTTTTGCGCTATTTCTCCTATTTAGAATGGTTATATAATTACGTTGATACACCAGATTAATTTTTTTTTAATTCAATTCAACATTTGAAGGGTCGATGGACATGTTTTATTACGTTATACGAGGAAGGTAAGAAGGAGAATGTCATATTTTGTGTTTTCTAATAAAGCACAATTCCTAAATCATTTACGCCAATGCTTCGATACGTCTTTAGATATATGTAAACACGAGAAGTATGATATCTTATAGTAGGAATAACTGTGTGCCGAGTTAATTAAGATTGCGTCGAAACAAAAAAATCAATACAAA